GAGGCAGGACAGAGCAGAGTGTTCATGGCATTGCAGGCATTTCCCATGTGGTTGGAAGGCAGAGAGGTAAGAAGTGAGGTTGGGGAGATTAAGGGGTGGGGCAGGAGTTGATTGGAGGCCCCCCCCCTCCCACCAGTGTGCCCTGCCAGAGAGCTTGGGCTTTATCCTTTAGGTGCAGTAGGCAGTCACTGAGCACAGGGAATTGGTGTCAGAATGGTGAGGCTTTTAAGCTGCTCCAGAAAGCAAGCTTGCTGGTGAAGTCATACTAACTACGTCATTTATTCCATGTAAAATCGGAGTGACTATTGTATATAAGAAATGACAACAATATAAGTTTTTACATAATTCTTCTCAACTATGTAGACTTTGTACAAATTTCAACTTCTTCATTACCTGTTCATAGTGGAAGCCTTAATAGTTAAAATGATTTTTACATGAATTTCATTTAAAATTGCTTAGAGTATTTGGTTTTGAAGGTTTCTAGAAAACTTACCCTTTTTGTCTGTTACTGCCCGGCAGGATTGGCAAAGCAGTGTTCAGCTTTCTCTGTAGCTACCAAGGCAGCAAGGATAAAAATAGGACAAACTTTAAGAATCCCAGATATTTTCAGATAACAAAGACTGATTTATGTGGGCCCGTTTTGTGCTCTGACAAAACATAGAGAAGCTTTTGTGCTGTGATTAGCAAGGGTGCTGATGTCAGTTCTCTTGTCGAGCATCAAGCTTTATTCTGTGGCTAAATTGTGCTTTGTACCATAATCCAGAGAACCTTTGTATCTGCCTTATTAAAGTGTGTAGTTTATGTAATTGCTTTTGTTTTCCAGTTTAATCTGTGCCAGATTCAATGAGAGTGACTCATTTTGTGACTGAGACAAATATTCACATTTGGACCATGTTAAAAATAAATAAATAAGTGGCAGGTGCTGCTTGGCTAAATTCTGTCTTTTAATGCTGTAATTTCCTGCTGTAAGGGTTCATGTCTTGTATAATGTCTACTCAGCCTCTGTAATCACTAGCCCAGTATAGCTAGTGCACCTCAGTTCATTGCTAGTCATTTCTTGGCTATTTATTTTAGTTTTTAAGGTCTTTTGAATTTTAACAATGTGAATTCAGCAAGGAAGCAAAAGAATGGATCAACCAGAAGACAGAGCAACATATAAGCTGTAGCAAAAGGATACGCTTCATTCTTTTCTGTTTTTGTCATTTTCCCAAGGGGTTTTGTGCACGTGTTGTGGTAAAGTTATCTTAGTTATGTTTATTTTATCATGGATGTGTTTAGTACTGGCACTCATTTTCTCAAAGGGAAGAGGATTTGAAAGCACTCCTTTCTTTTCATTGTGGCCCAAATATCCAATCTAATATGCTCAAAATTTTTACAACATTTTTACTCTTACAGGAATTCTGTTTATTGTATAAATAGTTCTATGTACCAGGCACTGTGCTATATGCATTGGGTATGCAATGGCAAATAAAGCAGACATGACCAGTATCTTGGATTTTTCAGTCCATTTAGGAGTTACATGCTAAACAAATAAATACAAAGAAAAATTGAATGGCAAAATTATGCAAATCACAACATAGGTAAGTAATAGTGTCTCTAAAACTATGCCTTACTTTACATGAGGGGGGTAGTTAAGTTGCAGATGGTCAGTGAAGGCCTGAAGGTCCGAGTTAGATAGGCAAAGACTGGGGGAAAGAACATAGTGGACTTAGAAAACAGCATGTTTACAAAGTCCCTGAGGTAGGAAACAGATTAGCCTCCTATAAACCATATTATTGAAGGGGAGAAGTGACAATTGACAAAACTTTAGAGAGAAAAGGAAACTGTATTTAAAAGATTATAGATGAAGTATGGAAGCACAGCAGTATGGCACTATAGCGTAAGGGCAGATAACCCTCCAAACAGCCCAACAGCCTCTCAGAGTCTCACTAAAGCACAGTATAGAAATTGATGCTTATAATCCTTAGCCTGAACCATTGGGGAATGGGTGAATATGTTCAATGAATTATGTAGTAAGGCATTTTAGAAAGATTTCCATGGAAGACATTAAAGTTTTAAAAAGTCACTTCTGTATTTAAAGATGGAAACTTCACTATCTGGAGAAATGACTTACTAAAAATTATGATTCCTTGATGGCCCTGGATACATGATCTAGTACTCCATGTTCTTTTCCCTTTACTTGGTTATTACTTTTTCAAGCTTACTTTTTGATAGAGAAGTATCCATAGAGGCATAATTTTACTAAGAGATGACATTTATTTATTTTGAAGTAAATAGATATTAAATGAATAGATTTTTATAATCCAGAAACTATGCTAAAATCTTGTGAATGTAATACTTTATGACTTTTCAATATTATCTAAAACATCCATAGGAGTCTATCCTACCTTCCGGACACCAGTTATTTACTTTTTCCTTTGAGCTGCAGTCAGATTGGGAAGTTGATTTAAAATATAGATGATAATAAACAATTATTATACATAATATTTTTCAGCCTTTGTGATTTTTCTAGTAATCTTCTCATTAAAGGATTACATAAGTTTCTCCATAAAGGAATGCCTATTCATTTAGAATAGTTCTGCAGATATTTTGCCAGTGTTGCTATATTCTCAAGTATTTTCATGTATGTTAAATATTTTCTTCACAATTAGTCAATTCCTTGAAGGTAGGAATCATGAATTATATACTTGTCTTTCTTCCCACAGTAGCACAGTGTTTGCGGTATAATCAATAACATATTGACGGATTAACTCGTTGATTTTCTTCTTAATGTATCCACATTTTCTTGAATGGATACAATTTTAGGAATCTTCTAAAATTTTAAACCTAAAGTTATCACTCAAATTAATTCAGTTATCATCAATATAGTTGTTCAAATTATTCAGGACTGAGCGGGCTGGTTTATGGATGGCTCAAACTCCATAGTTTACATTTTCTTTGTCTCTGCCTCAAACCATTGTCACAGCTTCCTAGCACCTCCATCGGAGAAAAGCAATTGCTCAAAGGCAGTTCATGTCAGAAGTTATTATAAAATGTGGTGAAGATGGAGGCTAAGGCTAAACATCTGCTGGAGAAGTGTGTGTGTATTTTAGTTATTCCTTTATTCTCTTGGCCCATGTGTATTTTTCAGGATAGAATGAAGCTGTTTTTAGTTGGCACTACAATACTTTTTGTGTTATGTATGCCAAATTTTATAAAAAATAAATATGGAGCCCCTATCATGTCATACTATATTGCTTTTGGTGATTTTAAATTTAGTAGATATTTTCCTATAAACAGACTGATATGTATGTTAATGAAGGCATAGATATAGTGATTTAGGGAAATTGGCCTATTTTAACAGTGCTAACATTGTGAGCATTCATGGTCTATTAGACTGTATGTAGAATACCAAACTTGTATACTGTGATGAGAAACATTTCTGAAAATGCCATAAGCATAAGTTTGTCGTTATCCCACGTTATTAGTGGAAAAGAGACATGCTGCTATTTCTGGTTGGTTATACTTTTCTAAAACTAAAGGATTGAGATGTTGTGATTAGTGCTGATTCATGATCTGCAAGTGAACAGAAATGTACAGTGGCCAGTAAGAATGTTTTATTCCATTCGGGTTCATAAAATGTTTTGTTTCTCAGTCCTTCCACTCTTTGGAATGTCCTCTTGAGGCAGTCTTACCTTGAACGTTCAGCGTAGAGCATAGAATGTCTCTTAGTAGTGACTGAGACTTGCCGAAATAGGCCTCTTTCCCATCTAGCTGACTGCTTGCTGGTAAGGGAGAACATCGGAGAGAAATAAGGCTTGAGTTTGTTTCCAGGCACAGCAGTTGGTTAAAGACTGATGAAGAAGACTGTTGTTTGGTTCTGCTTTTATTTTTTGGTGGATATAAATTTTAAGGAGGACGATAGTCAAAATGTATTATCCTCCTTTAAAAAAAAAAAAATAAGCCGCCTTGGCTTTTCTAGACATAGTATTAAACTCGAAACCTCCCAGAACTTGTGGAGGGAATATGTGGTAAGTATAGGTCCCCATTGCCAATATGTGTTTCTTGGGAAGAGGAGGAAGAGGGCTAAAAATAGTTGTATCCCATGCTCAAGATTACAGATCTTATTTGTGTAGTCTTGAAACAACAGGCTGTCTGGCCAAAAGAAAGACACAGTCTGAGGCTTGCTTCCCAAGTGAGAAGCCAGGAAAGCTTCTAAATCCTTTCCCCCTGCTCTCCCTACTCTTTGCCCCTCACACCTAAAAAAAAAAAAAAAAAAGCAACCTAGAGTTTAAAATCAGTAAGAGCCTTATAATTTTAAGAAGCATTTTTATGTGTATTCTCTAGGGCATGATATTAAGGCAGGGAAAACATTGCTTTTTAAGAAATTGTGGTAAAACAAACATAACAAAATTTACCATCTTAACTATTTTTAAGTGTACAGTTCAGTGGCATCAAGTACATTCACGTTGTTGTGCAACCGTTACTGCCGTCGACATCCAGAACTTTTTTGTCTTCTCCAGCTGGAAACTGTATACCCATTAAACACTAACTTGCACTTCCTCTCTCCCCCGCCCCTGAGAACCACCATTATGCTTTCTGTCTATGAATTTGACTACTCTAAGTACCTCCTATAAGTAGAATCATACAATATTTGTCCTTTTGTGATTGGCTTGTTTTCCTTAGCATAACATCTAACTTCATTCTTTTGCATGTGGATGTCCAGTTTTCCCAGCACCTTTTGTTGAAACCATTGCTTTTCTTATATTTAGTAAAAACCAAACCTTCCTCAGTTTGTTGACTTGATATTATATAGTAGGAAATTTAGTAGGAGATATTCTGTATATATATATTATTAATTGAGGTGTCAGTAAACTTTGCTTTTCAGAGTGGCAGATTATGCTATGGTAAAAATTGTGAATTTCTCTAGATAATGCATTTGATAAAATTGGCTGGATACATGTGCATCTTCTTGAAATATTTCTCTCAATACTAAATGGGTATTTTTGTTTTGTTTCTAGGCATGGAAGAGGAGATGGTTTGTGTTACGCAGTGGTCGTTTAACCGGAGATCCAGATGTCTTGGAATATTACAAAAATGATCATGCCAAGAAGCCTATTCGTATTATAGATTTAAATTTATGTCAACAAGTCGATGCTGGATTGACATTTAACAAAAAAGAGTTTGAAAACAGCTACATTTTTGACATCAACACTATTGACCGGATTTTCTACTTGGTAGCAGACAGTGAGGAGGAGATGAATAAGTGGGTTCGTTGTATTTGCGACATCTGTGGGTTTAACCCTACAGAAGAAGGCAAGTTCAAGTTTTATTATTCAACCTGAGTTTACCTTTTTCGCTAAATTTTTAGAAATGTCATAAAGTTCTTTGTTATTTCAGTTATGCAATATAATGCTTTGTTTTGCAATAGCAACTTGACATTTGGAAAATCACTGTACCCTTTAATAAGTTTTGGGAGAAACTTTTTACAGGTTTGAGAGAGAGAGGGATGTAACCATTGTGGAGCAGTGTCTAAACAGTTGTCCTGAGGAAGCAGATGATAAGAATACATGCTTATTTAAGTGCATTTATAGAGTTCTAAGTATTCAGTTGAACCATATAACACTGTTGACATTTGATTATTTTTCACCTATTAAAAATAGCGTTGTATGTGGTTCAACTCAATTCTATTTATTTATTTATTTCCACATATTATAGGGGTACAAATGTTTAGGTTACATATATTGCCTTTGCCCCACCCGACTCAGAGTTTCAAGTGTGCCCATCCCCAGACAGTGCACACCGCACCCATTAGGTGTAAATATATTCATCCCCTCCTCCCCCCTCCCACCTGCCCAACACCAGATGAACGTTACTACTAAATGTGCACATAAGTATTGGTCAGTTAATACCAGTTTGATGGTGAGTACATGTGATGCTTTTTTCTCCCCCATTCTTGTGATACTTCATTTAGTAGAATGGGCTCCAGCTCTAGCCAGGATGATACAAGAGGTCCTAGATCACCATTGTTTTGGTGGCTGAGTAGAACTCCATGGTCTACATATACCCTATTTTATTAATCCACTCATGTATTGATGGGCACTTGGGTTGTTTCCACATCTTTGCAATTGTGAATTGTGCGGCTATCAACATTCTAGTGTAGATGTCTTTTTTTATAAAATGTCTTTTTTCCCTTTGGATAGATGCCCAGTAATGGGATTGCTGGATCAAATGGTAGTTCTACTTGTATCTCTTTGAGGTATCTCCATATTGCTTTACACAGAAGTTGTATTAGTTTGCAGTCCTATCAGCAGTGTATGAGTATTCCCATCTCTCCACATCCACGCCAACATTGATTGTTTTAGGACATTTTGATAAAAAAACATTCTCACTGGAATCAGGTGATATCTCATTGTGGTTTTGATTTGCATTTGCATGATGATTAGAGATATTGAGTATTTTTTCATATATTTGTCGGCCATGAGTTTGTCTTTTGAAAAGTTTCTGTTCTTGTCCTTTGCCCATTTTTTAATGGAGTGGTTTGATTTTTTTTCTTGCTGATTTTCCTGAGTTGTATATATCTACATAGATTCTAGTTATCAGCCCTTTATCAGATGTGTAACATGAAAATATTTTCTCCCATTCTGTAGGTTATCCGTTTGCTCTCATGATAGTTTCCTTGGCTGAGCAGAAGCTTTTTAATTTGATCAGGTCCCATTTATTTATTTTTGTTTTTGCTGTGATTGCCTTTGGGGTCATCTTCATAAATTCTTTCCCTAGGCCAATGTCTATAAGAGGTTTTCCAACATTTTCTTTTAGAATTCTTACAGTTTCATGCCTTAGGTTTGAGTCTGTTACCCACCATGAGTTGATTTTTGTGAGAAGTGAGAGATGCAGATCCTGTTTCAGTCTTCTACATGTAGCTATCCAATTTTCCCAGCACCATTTATTGAATAAGGATTCTTTTCCCGAGTGTATGTTTTTGTCTACTTTGTCAAAGATTAGGTGACTATATGAGGGTGGTTTTATATCTGGATTCTCAGTTCTGTTCCATTGGTCTATGTCTCTCTTCTGGAGCCACTAAGATGTTTTAGTTACTATAGCCTTGTAGTATAGCTTGAAGTCTGGTAAATTGATGACTCCCCAATTTGTTCTTTTTGCTTAAGATTGCTTTTGGTATGCGGGATCTTCTCTAGTTCCACACGAAGCATAAAAAATAAAATACCTTGGGATATATTTAAGGAGGGTGAAAGACCTCTACAGGGAGAACTACAAAACACTGAGGAAGGAAATAGCAAAGGATGTAAACAGGTGGAAAACCATACCATGCTCATGGGTCGGCAGAATCAACATTGTTAAAATGTCTGTACTATCCAAAGTGATCTACAGATTCAGTGCAATCCCTTTTAAAATACCAACATCATTTTTTGCAGATCAACCTAATTCTTTAGGTTTTACTTTTAAAACTATATATTAGATTATGAGGTTATGAAATAGCCAAGATGATTATCACTACCTGTGAAGAGCAAATGAGAATCAGTCACAAAACACAATGAAAAAATACCAAACAAATGAGTTTACTAAGGAGGAAGGATGAGGAGGAATCCATGTTTGGATAAAAGGTAGCGAAGAAAAGCTTCTTAGAAGAAAATCTGGGGGCTTTTGAGGGAAGTAGTATTTCTGCATAAACACAAGAAGGGATGTGCCTCAGAGATGGAATAGAATTTTACTTGACTGGAGTAGAAAGGTTCTGAATGAAAAGCCAGGGGAAAGTTGCTTACAGATCTTGAATGAGGAACTAAGATTTGGGGTGCTTATCCTAGAAAGAGCTGAGTGGCAAGACAGCTCAAGAAGAATTTTAACAGTAGAATTCCTCTTCAGGTACTTTCCTATAGCTGTCTGACCACTTACTCCCTTTCCTGCTTCCGTACTTCTCTTCCTTTTGAAACAAACGCTTCTTCTCCTAGGTAGGAGACCCAAATACAAATTTAGGTTTGTAGAGCCAAGAATCAGCAATAAAGTTGAACTGAGGCCTTTGACCTTATTTTCTACATGGTTATAAGCACAGTTAGAAGTGTGCATTTATAGGGAGCCTTCCAGTGCTGGGTTTGGCTCAGTGGGCTGGGGCAAACCCCTAGCTGAGGGAATCTGGAATGCCCAACTGGAAGCAGCACTAAAAGAGGGAAGGAGAGGGGCTGCTGAACTAGAGATCTTCAACAGAGCTCTAGTGATTAAAAGCCTCAAGAAATTGTTTCACAGGAGGAATTGAGGCTTCAGTTGTTTTCATGAAGTTACTAAATTTGGTCACAGCGTAAGTGACGGGGTATTACTTCTAACTCTGGTTAAATTCCTTTCCTTTCTTGTTTACATGTATAGTCTATATTTGAGTGCAGTGGAGGATTTTAAAGTTAAAGTCACAAATGAGATAGCTCTCTTTTTAATGTTTATATAACAACTAGTCAATAATGATAATTATTGGATTTAGATACCACATTAATTTCGATATGTGATGAATTTTTAGTGAAAATAATTTGTCATCTCCTAATCTTTTGCCTGCTGCTTTTTCTATGCAGAATTTGTGTGGGGGACCTTAGAGCAGACTTCTCTCTCCATTGGTTGCCTGTATAGATTGAGCTGATCTGAAAGGCTGAATAGTATGGGTTCTTCCTTCTCTCTTTGTTCTTTTTATAACCCTCTTGCATATATTTAACAAAGGAAATGAGATGTTCTCATAGAGGATATACATTCTTCAGTCAGGGAATGTGAATGTCTAATTTTTGGAAGCCGACTCAGGGGTGGGTAGAGTCAAGAACCCACAAATAAGAATTTCTAATGCTCAAGTGTCTGAGATTAATTTTGCATGTTTTAAGGCACAGAGTCTGGTCTTTTTGGCCACCTTAAAATGATTCTTACCATCCAGGAGCTTGATGAACACCCAGTCAGCTCTGGGAAGAAGAAAACCATGGTCTGCTTTAGAAAATTGATTCATTAGTTCACCAAATTATTTGAGTTTGCTAACACTACTAGGCTATGGGCATTTGTTCAGCAAACACACATGAGATGACTAGTTGGGGAAAGAAATGGTAAATACCACAGATGTGGAACTGGACATCTAGTGGGAGAAGATTCATTAAAAGTATTGTGGAAGTTTGTAAATACAGTTCTCGTCCTCATGGAGCTTACAGTCTAGTAGGGGAGACAGGCAGAGAACCCAGGAATTATAATACCAGTTTGTAAGTGTTGTGCTAAGAAAACAGTAGGCATAGATAGCAGCAGCACCTGATTCAATCCTACGAGGGTCAGGGAAAGCCTAGGTAGTTTTAAATGGCTTTGTGACTATAACGTAATGTCCTAAGAACTTTGTTTTTGTACTTAGCAGACATTTTCAGTGATTTTAAAAGTCAGAATCAGTCACAACGTCTGTTTTCACTTTATAAATGTTTTACCATATAGAGGTAGACTATACCTTATAACTTCCACCTTGATCTACAACATCAACATGGAAATATAGGAGGGGTGAAGTTTCAAACCTTAAAAGCTACAGTGAGCCTTTCATTGGCAGAACTCCCAAGTCCTTATAAAACAGATTAGAAGTATATTTGGGTTTAATGAAACACTGTTTGTGAACTTTTTACAATATCCATGGGGTGGTGGTGGTTGGTTATAAGAAAATTCATAGTACGATTAATCAGTTTTGTCATACATATAGTCTGTGAAGTGGTTACCAAGAACAGCATCACAAATCTTTATCTGTTCTTTAACACAAGGTTCTAAGGACTTTGATTTGCCAATACTTTCTGTTAATACATTTAGTTCATGGGTTTTATATAAAAGCCACTGCATTTATTATTTTAATTTTATGATTTAGATTTTTCACAGCTCTATCCTGCCCATTTCCCCAAATAGCCACAGTTAGAAATGTCTTAGTATACTGTGTTGAAGCATATGTTGAGTTTCTTGGAATAAGTCAGTAAAAGATGAACGATTCTTCATTATGTAGTATCAAGGAACCAAAAAAATATCGTATTGTACTCTATAATTTTGGTTTTTAATGCATAGTGGCAAAACTGCAAAAGGACTTTTAAGTCAACCACTGCATTGCCTTTTGCATTCATAGTAGCTGACTTTGTTTAAATAATCCACATGTTTAAAGATTTGTGTCAAATTCTAAACAGCAGGCAACTGCAATTATCCTTTGTAATCATATTTGCATTGTTTAATGTGACAAGGCAAATATCAAAATGTCTTTGTTCTTCCATTAACTTTACTACCTGTTTTACATTTTCTTGCTTCCAAATAGATCTCCCCACCAATCA